TGGTTTGAAATTTAAATTGTCACACAAATTTTCCCCATATCTCACGCTTCAAACTTTAACATACCACACTACCTAATTATTATACCCATGTTTTAAATATTCAATTGAATAAATAATCATATCGTACACCCAATTTTATACACAGAATCACCTTTCCGTTTGATGATAACCTTTATAAATATTTAATTTAGTTATTAAAAATTAATTATTCTTCCGCAGACATATATAAATTAATATTAAATATATTGTAATGTTGGTGAGTATTATATTAAACATATTTTTACTTTTGATGGGTGAAAATGGTTTTTTTTATACAACTTAGAATGGCAAACAAGCTGACGGCCCACCTGATGGAAAGTGGTAACCGTCGCCTATAGACATGAGCAGTACCATGGACATAATAGAGTATACTGTTTCGCCCATGATACCCCCCATGCATTGCAATTCCTGAGGACTCAGGTGTTATTCCTCTGTACTCAGTAAATTCACGCCATATCCCATCCTTCAAACCGAAACACAGCCATGCAAACCGCCTGCGCTAACGGGATACAGCACCAGTGAAGGGTGATAGATGAGAATGAAAACAGGCAAGCCCATCATGATGAATTCATCAGAAATTAACCATGATAATTTTTAGGGAGTACCGCGATGAGGTCGACCTGGTTGGTTATATTGCTAGCAATAGGATTCTCAGTCTCCATTACTAACAATCCCTTTCCCCCCATATTTTACATATTAGCTTGCAAACTATAAAATATTAAGCGACTAAGATTTACCCGCGACTTCTTTCGTGACTATGATATATTTATTAATTGGGATAAAAAGTAGCCTGCTTGCATATATATAATACAATATAATAATGATATTGAAACTATGAGTAATGAGGCTCATCTCAATACAATAGTAAATTTGTAATTTCACAAAACTAAAAATTACAAATCGGTTACTATTGTTTTTATTTAAAATTATTTATCCTTGACTCCTTTAATGACGAAATTTTATTTTTACACTTTGAAATACGATATGTGACTAATCACTCGTAAACCGACATTAAAAAAATAAGTAGATATCAAAAAAACGGATTTCATTTGAGGCTATAAGGGTTCCGGCAACTTCAGTACTATATCACAACACCAAACACCAAACTGCGAACACAAAAATGATTACGAAAAGAGAAGAATAGAAGAGAAAAACCCCTAAATAAATAATTGCAATGAGAAAGATGATGACCTATTTTAAAACACACCCAAGTTTTCTTTTATTTTTTTTTTATGGAATCTTTCTCTGCTCTTATATATTCATACTGATATTCCCGAGGACTCAGGTGTTATTACTCTGTACTTTTCTTAAAACACAGCCATTCTTTTAAAAAATAAAATATATATGAATAGGTGAGATGTATCATAAAATTATCGGTTGTTATCCTTATATATAAATTTGGCATATATAATCCCTTTTCCAATCAACTCCATTTGCAACTTCAGTACTATATCACTTTTTAGCCATATCATCTTGCACATAGTAAATCCATCACTTTTTGGTCTTTCTCTGCTCTTATATATTCATACTCAATACTTTTCCTAAAACAAAAAAATCGATATTTCACTATTTATTTATTTAAATTACTGCTTTTGTATAATTTTAAAAACTATTCAAAGCAAACAATATCGATACTTTTTTGTAAGTTAAAGAGCAATAGTAAGTAATTACCGCCACCTATAGACACATACAACATCAGAGAAATTGCAGAAGTATTGCCGACCTTCTATAAATATGCACTTTTCTTGAAAGGTTAGTTTCTAAGAGTAGACTCTTTTCTGTTCGGAAATATTGCTGATTATATTATAACATAACTGGAAATTAGCTGCATATTTTAGTTTACTTAGAACATGGAAGGAACACGTAAGTAACACATATCGTTTACAAAAGACATTACAAAAATCGATGTAGATTTAACGATGTAATTGCATAACATACTTACAAAAACAAAAACACAATCGTATTGAGAAATTGGTATCTCTGCGTCAAGGGTAACGAAAATCGAATCAGTCTTCTGTAATCATCATTCAGATGCAAAACGTATCGATTTACCGATAATCGTGACCGCAATAAAAAACAATATCCACCCGATGATAGGTTTATGTATAAAACTGCTTATTTTTTATATAGATAATTAATGGTTTTGCAATTCCAGTTTGCGAGACAATACGGAACTAATAAACTGTGACTCATCTATGTGCAAACTAAAAATGTTAATTTCATAATAGCCATCTTAGTATAGAGTTAAACTAAAATATCAAAACATTATAAGAGTTAGAACAATAAAGAGTTGAAAACCACTAAAAAAAAAGAAAGACAACTAAAAGCGATAATATTTTACGATAAGATATTAGTAATGTTCGTACATACATAAATCAAACAAAGCTTTACATAGTGAAGATTGTAAATTGTGTAAAAATTGTGTATATTTTTCTTGCTCATTTCCTATATTATATAATGCAAATAAAGTATATTCATTCATTCTTTCATTGATGAATATGGAGGAAGCGAAAATGTATATTTGAATTGAATCATTTAGCGTTCTCTTGTTTCTGCTTACCTCAATTGGAGACAGGAGTGACAAATATTTATGTACCAAAGCTGATTAGTTAAAACAGCAAGTTCGTTGATTGAAAAAACGTCCTAGTTGATGTATCTGACATCTTATTAGTACAGTATGGATCTTAATTATGTAATCAAAATGTTTGATTACACTTCTTAAGAGTTATGAAACGTACAATATAAAAGAAGTTAAGTTCGGAATAAAGAACTAATAAATAAACTTGTAAAGATCAAAGAGGAATAACCCTAAAATAACGTACATACTTGTACAAAAATGTAGAAGAGCAACAAACCTACAACATTTTATACACTTATCCACAAAAGCAAAAGAGGAATAAACCTGAAATAGTTTACAAACTTATCCACAAACATGTGTAAAAGAAGAACAAACCTGGAATAGTGTACAAATTTATCTACAAATGCAAATGAGGAACAAACCTGGAAAGGTGTACAAACTTATCTACAAATGCAATCGGTCACATAATTGAAAGAAAATATTATAGACCGCCTGATGCTATGTCACCTTTTTTTTTAATATTTATGTATTTTATATGGAATGGCAAATACATAAATATATGTATTTAATGTATTTGCCATTCCATTACTAAACGCAGTTTCAGACAAAAATCGATTCCGAACATAATTTATTATTATTTTTTTTGGTCAGTCATGTAAAAATTATATCCAGTTTAGTCAATCATATGCATTATCTGATAAATTACATCAGAATTTGACTTCAATTTACATAACAGATGACATAAAGCGGATTTGTAATGCAAGGCCATAACCAATTTATATAGAGGATGAAGTCCTTGGAATTAACTAAGGAACTTCATGTATTTGAAAATATCAGATGACCGTCCAAATAAATCACATTATCTTCTAAGATCAGAGATTTAATTTATACATATAAAAACTGTTTTGTATAATACTTAAAACTAAACAGAATAAAAATAATTAAATACCTATATCTATTTTAAAAATAAAAAAAATTATAACATATTCTAATCGCAAACGAAGCAGAATTTGTATTATGATTACTAACTAGAGACATTTTTTGTATATATATATTTTTAAATACATAAAAACATTCTGACCAATCCAAGCAGAGTCATGAATACTTTTTTATTCGGTGATCGAACTCGCAGTCATCAGACGATGATGCAATAAGTATATGAAACCGCTAAACCACCAAGATGATGCCAACTACATTGATGATGATCAACACTACTAATTTATAATTAAAATTTTGAGTTTTTCTCTATATAAAAATTAGAAACAATAATATTATTAGCAATGTTACCATTGTAAAAAAAGCATTATTTTATTACTAATTTTTAGTAGCGACTTCACTCGCGTGACTGGTTGGTATATTATATTGATTGATAGACATAAATAGTAACCTATAACGTATAAACGGCTGAACGGATTTCAATTAAATGTGGTACAAAGATAGCTTAAACCCTATCTTAACATATATACAGAATACTACTGATATACGTAAGTAAAACTGCGAGAAATAACTAGTTTATAATATTAGTAAGGATTATAATAAGACAGTTGTAACTTGACCACTGGTCGTGATGAACGTAAAAATGTATAATAAATGTATGACTGTGATCGGAATAATAAATATAGGTTCATTGAAATAGCGGTTTTTATTATGGAATAGTATGAACTCATACAGAGGTAACTGTACGGTAATATCGATGGACAGCATTTATAGTTTATATTTGTTCTTTTAGATAGTAGATATACATATATATATATATATATATATATATATATATATATATATATATATATATATATATATATATATATATATATATATATATATATATATAGAGTTAAATAGTTCTTCTCTATTAATTTCATTTTTCATTTTAATTTCAATAATTAATAAAATTGACCATTAAATTTTTTTCCTTTATTTTATAGTTTTGTTAAAGAATACTAGTAATGGATATACATTATCTAACCTGTTATTAAATTATATATAAATAAAAATCAATTACCGAGTGTATGTAATCGTATCACTTTAGACCGGCTGCATCCTATTTGGCTAGTTCTTTATTATTATTTGTTTGCTATATTTTTGTCACGACAAGATTTGAATACAAGAAACATGTTCAAAAACCATGAAGCCAGAACGAACAACTAAAATATAATATAATAAAATTAAAGACATATATAATACATATTTAAAAAAAAACAAAATGCTGTCAATAATATTAGAATCTATTCTAAGGTACCATTTATATAGGTTTACGATTATTGGCACTTACAATTTTATAACTTTTTAAACGAACGCTTTGAATAATCTATATGTTTGATACAAAAAAAAAATAACAATAAAAAATACAATTAAAAACTATTATATATCAATAGAAACTTACCAATCGTATTTTGTAAAAAAAAAATATCCGTTACTTTTCGAATTTTCGTTTAAAACTACAATCACTCCACACATAAAATTCGTTTAACACTAAATTATACACATATATCGAAAAATCGTAACCACTGTATTTGGTCGAAAATACATAATCGATTAAAAAGTTACACTCAATTGAAGCACGAAAACAGACCCTCTACGTATAGATATAGTGTCGCAATTCGCGTGTGAAACTATAATATAGAGATGCGCAGGAGTGACGCGTGCTAGCCGCGTCGTGTATGCCGCGATTTTGCGCGCGCGCACCTGTCTCGCCTACGGTCGAAGTGGGTGACATAGATAATAAAATAAAAAGCTAGCTTTTTTTTATTAAAATTTCCATAAATCAAACCAAACTTCCAGAAAAGTGGACGGCCTTAATAAAAGATAATAAAAAAAAATATAATAATAGATCTACTAAAAAATCTTTGGCCATTCCAAATTGGAATGTTCGTGGTAATAATAGTATGTCTACATAAATTAGACAAATCCAAATTTAAATTATGCAGATTTCATTGTTTTTAAATGCAAATTACAGATTATACTTTAAAAGCTTAGAAGTTTTATATTTTTTATTAGATCTAAAATGTTTAGGGAAGTAGCTATTACAAATAGTATTTACAACATAAAAAAAAAGTTTTAAATCGTCCCTATTCATATTTTTATTGTGAAAGTGACTTTATTTCTTTTTTAAGGACTTGGCGCCTTAACCGCTAAGACAATCGTCTCTATTTTAAAAAAAGAAACATTAATTTGAACAAAGTAACTAAAGCCTTTTTTCTTTTCCATTTAAAAGCTTCCTCTTGTCGGTGCAACTAATTCATGCATATTCTTCCAGCCAGTTCATATCCCAGGCCATATCTTTGACCTCTCTGTACGATATGATGCCTAGTGTTTCCTTTATCTGTCCCTATATATGTAGTTATTTCTTGGTATTCCCCTTCCATTTTTACCTTCTAAAGCCTTTTATGTAAAAATATATTAAATTATTTGAAAACACACTGTATAACAAAAAATTAAAGACTAATAAAAATATCTCCTCTTTTTGAAGTTGGTTAAAATCAAATAATACCATAAAGTGTGTTATGGTAGCTTCATATGTTGAGTGCACTCTGTCATAACTCATCTTTCTACACGCCGTGACCTCGTCATGTCGGCCAAGCTACACCCACAAAAATTTAAAGCTTAAGTACGTGCGAAGTTAATTGAATTGGCTTGATTAATTGCACCTACTGTTACTCGTTGAGGTGGTGGGGATTGTTTGGAGACTAGCAGCGCCATTATCAGCAGTATGTCAGGTTGACCTCCAGAAGGTCCCCTCTGGGAACCGTTTATATATATATACAAACAAGCATACAGTCTGTCTGATGATAAACGGTTATTGTAGCCAACGGACGCCTGTAACACTAAGGGTGACAAATGTGCGTTGCCGATTCTGAAGAAACTTTTATATAACCTTTTTGAAAAAGTCCATACTGTAGTCTCTAGAGAAAACCTCAACAGGGAGCTCATTCCACAATTAGAACGTTTGCGGGAGAAAATTCAAGCGTGTGAGGATGAATTCCCTATTGATGGTGATGGGGTGACACGTGCGACGTTGGTTTACTAAACGGTAGATTACGAAAACGAATAAATATTTTATTTTTATCTGATTAACGGTAATTTTTTCAACTTAATAATTATAACTGTCATTTTCATCTATTGTAAGTATATTGGACATAGTAAATTCGTTTAATTATTATTATTATTTATTTAAGATTGTGTTCCACGAAATAATCGACTTTATTTGTGACAAAACCGATTAAATTTAAAAACTACATTACTTAATCGATTTTGATAAAATTTCCATGGTCCAATCTGTAATTATTTCCTTTTTTAATAAATAAAAAAAAAACAATTTTCCAAATCGGTTTATAGCTGACGTAGAAAAAAAAACAATTTTCCAAATCGATCTATCAATGACGTAGTTACGAGGTAACAAACATAAAAAAATACAACCGACTTCAGAGCCTTCTTCTTTTTGAAGTTGGATAATAAATAAGTATATATAGACATAAGTTTTAAAAACTACAAATGTTATTTTGAAAATGTTCTTTACAGCCTTTTTTAACATATCATTCAGTATCAATTCACAGTTTACACGCATTGCTGCCAACATCAATCATATTTGCACAATCAAAAATACAAAACAATCAGATATAATATGCCATTGATTGATAGATTGATGTATTTATTCCATGCATACAACCAATATATTACAATTGAATGTGTTACATGCCTAGTGAATTACATTTATGAAGTTATTATTAGATAAGTACATACATTGCTTGATGCTCTGATTTCCAAATATATATGTAAACCTGAGATTACATAGATAGAGTGTCTCCATAGAAATGCTTCGAGTAAAACGGGTCAACTATTTCATACAATTTTGCTTGATAAATAGTTGAGTGATTCCTTTGTAACTTCTTTATTTAATTTGTCTTATAATTTTTGCAACTTTTTAATGCGTAAGCACTCATTTTATTTATTAAATAATAGGTCAAGATACATTTTATGCATTAATATATAGAATACTGATAAAAAAAAACGAGTCAGCTAACTTGACAATTAGCTGACAAAAAGTTAACTCGTTTTTGAGAATCGATACTCTATCTATATAATCTAAGGTTTGAACATATGATAACATAAGCTGTTGTTGTAGGTAACTTAATAAAATTAATAATTATTAGATTACAATATTATTTTTATTTTTTATTTTTAATATACAGTATGCAGAAAATAGGTTATCACTACTTCATTCAAAAGTCGGCACTGCTCTTATATTGACGTAAATGCAACATGATTCTGTGCAACCATCTAGAAGTATCAACATAAAAAAATAAATTTACATTCATAGTTTTGTACAACTATCTTCTCTAATAACATAAAACAAAGTCGCTGATCGCGTTTGTCATTTTGTCCGCTTATTTCTATAATACCCCTCAATTGATACTAATAAGAGTTTCACTGTCATTAAAATATTGTTTTACGAAAGGTTTGTACCTACAATACATATTAAGACCGATTCTAAGGTATTATTTCTCTAAATTTATCATTTAACAAAATTTTTTTATATATAATTTCGCGAAATTACCATTTAAGTTTTTAGAAATGGCAACACATAAAGGGTATCATGGAGGACACAATATAATAACAAACTCTTTATTGCATAGTACCATGTAAATAACAGAGTACTGTTTCGCCCATTGTGCCACGCATACGTTACGTCCATGATACCCCCATGCGTTACTATTACTGAGGACTCCGGTGTTATTCCTCAGTACCCTGTAAATTCACGCCATATCCCACCCTTCAAACCCATGCAAACACAATTGTTTCACGGTTGAAACACGAATGGCGTAGAGGTACCCAAGCAAACGACTTTTGTACAAAGTCTCGCTTTGGTAATTATATAAATACATAAATAAAGAATACCAATTTATCAAATAAAGAACCAATCAGATAGATAGAAGATAATCTTTCACTTGTCGATTGAAATCATCAATGGATTTTGCTTATGACACATTTACCGCGTTCTAAATTCAAATTTAAAATATTTCAATTCTATGAAATATCTCGACATCTATTGATGCGTTTCATTCGTTTTAAAATAAGAACAATGTTTAAATCGACATTAATACTGAAACAACATTTTCATTCAATATGGCGGCTTCATACTACCATTAAACAAGTTATACAACAATAGTGACCAATAATACACTTTCAGCGCCCAGTTGACCATCATCGCATTTCATTACAGATCATTAAACATGCGTGCTTTCATTCTAATTGCACATACTAGTTTAATAACCTGTCAATTAGTGTGTACTTGTTGACGATGGTATCTATATTTATGAGTTTCTGTAAAATAGACAACTGAATTAACATCTGTATTATTTTTAAAATTTATATATATATATATATATATATATATATATATATATATATATATATATATATATATATATATATTTATATATTTATTTTTTATTTGATGTCTATATACATATGTAATGGAAAATTAATGAACTCAATGTGTTTTTGTTGTTTCTGACAATTGTTACGACTTTATTCTGATGTCTTCTTCAGAGGGAGTTTCTTCGTCACCGCGTCGCTATTTCTGAACATCTGTATACTCTCGACAGCTCCCTACGTGAGGCTGAAATATAGTTTAGAGGCGGTTAGATAAATAATAATTTAAGATTGCGTGCCACAGAAAAAAAAAACTAAAATAATCTGTAAATATATCCTTTAAGACAAAAAAAGATTTTCCAAATTGGTTTGCAACTGATGGAGTTAAGAGGTAGCAAATATAAAAAACTAAAACCCAACTAAGAACCTTATACTTTTCGTATTCGGTTGAAAAAATTAAAATCTTACTATCTTTCTTTTTTATGATTTAGCATGACAAGCTTAAAAGTTTCGCCTATAGACCAGCACCATGGACACAAAAGAGCACTTGTTTCGCCCACATTATTCGTCTAATATTCGATATTAGAAACACAGCCATGCAAACACAACTGCTTCACATTATTTCTAATATTTGATATTAGTACTATATTTCTAAGTACAATAAAGAATATTATCCATTAATATAATCGATTTCCATTCCATAATTTTTACGTGAAATAAAAAAACGTCCATCCATCAATGCCTTCATACAAACTCTCTCAATTATATTTTTATATTAAAGTAGGGTAATATGAAGTTGTACTTCTTAGTCCATAAGCCGATTTGATCACCTACATAAAACAACTGACGTATTGCACAAACTGTCCCAATTTCGTTACTGACGTGTTTTCGAATCGCGTCGAGCAAAAACTGGTTCAACTTCAAACTAGACGTTTTTCTGTTAATTTTTTGATAGTTTACTGTAAATACTTCCATTACAGTAAACGCCATTTGAAACTAACCATATCTTCTAATTTTGATTGTGTGTATTAAGATGTAATTTAAGATTGTGATTAGCAAAAAAGAAAAACGATTTTGCGAATTGCGGAGATTTTAAAGCAATTATTTTGATTTTAAAACTAAACTACTTAATCGATTTTGATGAAATTTCTACGGAATCAATTTGTAAGTATATCCTTTCAGATAAAAGAAAAATTTTTCAAATCGATTTATAACTGACAAAGTTATAAGGTAGTAAATATAAAAAATAAATACAACCTAATTTAGAACCTCTTTTT